AATATATAAATATATATATATATATATATTTGTGACTGCTAAGGAGCATCAGTCTAAGGTACCCCAACATTAATTGACATGTAGTCTTGCCCCATAAGACAGCCCTTCAGTGCCAGACAGTCATTCGATTGCCACAACATAAAGTTGAGGGCATAGCCCATTAAAGTAACATTCTTTAGCTGGCCAGGTCAGGCCGCAAATAAAGCTGTGACAAAACATTATTATCAAGTTGGGGGGGCAACTTCTTCTGATGCTGATGTCTTCTGTACTCTTGTGGAATGTCACTGAGTAGCATTACAGGCCAAATTGGCCCCGCCCAATCGTATCATAAACCCGGGGCCAATCATAATGGAACTTTGCATAAACTTAATAGTTAACACCTACTTACTAGGCCTTGCTTCAATCAGTAAAGGATGATTTTTACTAGGAGCTCAAGGAGCCTTCATTGTCCTTACTGTGATTAACTTATTGCCAAATGGTTCTGAGATGTTTGTTCTGCTTAATAGCAAAACAAAATGTTAGCAGGAAATGTTTGCTCTTCATATGCATGCATTTCATATTGTTTTTACGTTAGGAGCTCATACAAACCCCCACATGTTGTTCAGAATCCAGAAGAATATCTTGGCATTGTTTGTCTCTATGCGAGCTGTAAACCTAATTCCATTTTTTTCTAAATCTACCACTGCTAGCTAGCTACATAACATGATTTGCGTAGCTGATAATTCAGTCTCTATCTGGTAATATGTTACCTAATGCTGTTTTTTATATTTGTGTTTCCTTTTAATTTGAAAAATTTAGTCATCAAATAACAGACCACAGAAAGCTTGTTCTAAGTAATAGTGTAGATATTGCTCACCTGTAAAATCTTCTTCTTTACAGTATGAGTTAAAGTGGACCTGAACTGAAAAAAAATTGAAGGTTTGCCATATTATAGAGAATATCTAGAAATTAGGTATGCCAGAGCAGAACCCTTAACGATTTACTCTGTCTTGAATTTCTCCTGCAAAGGGCAGTGCATTTCTGTAGCTACAGCATCATAGCTGTGTATCAACAATGTAAATCAACGGCACTGTTGCTTTTGACTGCTAGTCGCAGGAGATGTGGAATGATTTGGTGACATCACTACTGTGCAGATCTGCAGGGAGACCACATGCAATTCCAGTGACTAGTCCTTTGCCCTCTGTTTCTTCAGGTCTTCTTTAAACAAATATTTAGTTGCTAGTCATGGAAGTCAAATTAGTGTTCTGTGTTTGGGATGCCATGCAATTGTTTGTAAAGCTTGGTATTGAATTTGAAATGTTATGACTTTCTATGTTTCAATATCCAGAGACAAATGATTACAAATAAGGATGGAAATTCATTGTGAAACTGCTTTAAATTAATGCTTTGCAGAAGCACATTGGCAGCCTAGATTAGGACCATTCATTTTTATACACAAGAGCTTTTCCTGAGATGACTCTGGCCAGCGCCTGTTTTGCAGAAAAACATGTTTCTCCCTTTCCCGAATCTTCACAGATGTCTGGTCTAAATGGGGAGTGAGTTGGGAGTTTTCCTATAACACTTTAAAGGGTTCTTCTCCTAAAACTATTTTGTTCATGTAACAATGTAAAGGGTTATCAATAAACTCTTTAAACCACTCTAGGATATATTGAAACTAAGTGCTGGTAAGCTACCACACTATAAAGTAGGGATGCACCGATACTAGTATGAGTGTCGATACGGATTATTTGATACTCGTACTCGCCCAAATGCTACTCATACTTATCCCGATACTGGAACTTCCGTTATCAGGAAGCTGGGAGGTGAGTCATTACATGCCGCCCAGCTTTCTAATTGGCCAGGAAGCCGGTCCCCATGCCCAATCAGTAAGCCAGGCGTTATGTAATGACTCACCGCTCGACTTTCTGATTGGTTGGTTGGTTTATAGTTACATTCAATATACAGTTGTTTTGACAGATTGGCCAGATATTAAGACCTCTATAATAAATGCAATACACAACCATCAAAATGTGTTCCACTACACTAAACCTTATACACAAACTTTTATCATCACATCATTATTTTAAAAATCCAGTATAAAGGAAACAGTGATAAAAAAAAAAGCACTTGGGGTTTATCCAATTATTCTTCATGGTCCGTGCACTGGGGGTGTGACAGAGGGTGTGTCCTTTACCTACAGACCTTGTGCTAAATTCATCTTTCCCATTTCAGAAAGTTGGGGGGATATGTTTCAAGTCTGTGTCTCAGAACCCCTTAAATCTATAGGCAGCCAAATATCAAGTATTTTTAGAAGTAGAGTAGCCATGGCAGCCATCCTATTCCTCTCGTGACGTGTTTCTTTTAAAACTGCCACTAGGCCAGTCCCTGTGTAGCAGAATTGTGATATAACTGCAAAATTTACCTCCTAGATACTTTGATATCCCACAATCACACACACCTTTACACACTGATCCAAAGCTATAAATAATTGTTTGGCCTAGAAACAGGGAAAACCCTCACGGACGGGAGATAGAACATGATGAGCTGGATCCTAGTCTTCCTACAGCAGAGTGGTTGTCGGATGTTCAAGGCGCTACCTGGATAGCACACATTTCCCATTGACTGTCCTTAGGCAGGAGTCCTATCAGGCTCCAGGACTGCAGCAGCATGACACTGCAACAAAGGGACCAGTCAGCCTGGGCACAGACTGCAGTGCTGGATCATCTATATTTATCTTCACACGTGGTAGAGGCAACAGCGGATTGGGGTGAGTGCATAGTTACATAGTATTTGAGGTTGAATAAAGACACAGGTCCATCAAGTTCAACCTTTATGTATAAGTGTGTGTGTGTAGTGTGTGCATGTGCGTATATGAGTCCCTTGGGGGTCTAAAGATTTAAGAGTTCCTGTACCGCTGTATGTTACGGTCTATGAGGAAGGTATCTAATTGATTTTTGAATGATTCAATACTATGTGCTGATACTACTGCTTGTGGCAGAGCGTTCCAAAATAGTGTAATGTTTGCAGAAAAAAAGTGTTATATTGTAGCTATTAAAAAAACACTTTCTGATACAACAAATTTCCTTCAGCGCTGACATTTGTCTTTGCCACAGCAAAATTTCCTTTTTGTAAAATGACAGATTTATCTTGCTGTGTAGATGGATCCAGGTTAGTTTATATTTCAATCTGCTGCATTATGTGTTAACAGGCAGCTGAACAGCAAAGTGGCAGCAGCAGCAGCAATCAAGGACTCTGGAGCTCCTGCAATCAAAATTATCTGCTGCCAGATCTTTTACAACAAAGCCATCCTTCAGAGACTTCAGTGAATCAGCACAAAAGTCTTCAAAAGAGTCACAGGCCTGGGAACAAATCTTTAAATGATCAGGTGAAATCATTATGTTTTATGTCTTGTTCTGCTTGTTCACCGAAACCTGAGAGAGCGATAACTTCTCTTTGCACTTGTTGTAGGTCACCTTTTGCACTTTGATGCAATATTTTTATAATCGAGGTTTCTGAAGTAAATATTGTCATCACATCAAGTTTGTATCTATCATACTGTCAGTTTATATGAATGTAGCATTGAACTGCTAACAATGTTGGCATTGTCATGAGCAAATACACTGGATAAAAAAATAAATCACTAACTACCTAATCTTTTTTTTTCTATTCTTGCCAATGTCATGTCCATGCAGAAATCCAGTCAGCGATGTAAGGGAAATGTTTACTTATTTGTTTCCTGAATACACCTTCCAAATCTTGAAGTATACATTGTCAGCATTGTCAGTTGATCAGTCTTTCCTTATTGCTACCCTAGTGACCTGTAATCCCATGTTCAGTATTTTTCATGGCCAAGATAATGTTTAGGATTACGTGTGAGTGTATGTATGTATGTATATATATATGTATGTATATATATATATAAAGACACAAGTCCATCCAGTCCAACCTATGTCTAACCTATGCTCATTGAGGGAGACATCACAGAGGCTTCTGAATTTGTCGACACTCTCAGTGGATACCACTATTTGGGGGAAGGAGTTCCAAATGTTTGCCGCTCTAACTGTAAAGAACCCTTTACGCAATTTCAGATTAAACCTCCCTTTCCCCAACCTCAAGTTGTAGTCTCTTCCCCATGTCAGGAACCTTAGAATAAATATCTTGTTGCTACCGTTGCATTTTCCATTGATTGATTAATTTGTAGATACCTTTATGATTTAAAAGGAATGTGGTTTTGCAGAGAATTTGTTTATTATGAGGATGTAAACCAGTACTTTTTAAACCATTCTTTATCTTTTTCATGTATGAATGTATCTTTATTTTATAGCTTGTTAAAAAACTGCAGTTTACAGGCTTCAGAGCTAAAATTGCAATTTACACATTTAGGTGGATGATTCTGAAGGAGTGACTCCTTTATGGAACAGCTCAGTCCACAGACATTGAGCTGGAAGGCAGACAGACACTTATGTGATGCTTTGTTAGCTAACCCATTGTGCTCTAGGAATCTTTTTGTCAAACGTTAGATTGATCTCGAACCATTATTTAGTTTTTAAATGTAACCAGTAGGCACACTATAAGCAACAGCACCATCAAGTAGCTGACAGCATATGCAGCCATTGAGTACCTTTACTTCCATCTTCTGGCCCGACACTATCCATCCAGAGTTCTGCCAACTCTGCTATACAGTTAGTGACTTTCTCAAAGTCACTGGATAAACCCCTTATGTAACAATGATGGGCCTTTTACATGCTTGTTAAGACATTATTGTTGTACTATGTGAGTGGTTTATCTTATCTCTGCAGCAGGAGGTGCAGAGAATTCAAGGTAACTTTGGACAGGATTTGAGGGAAGGGAAGACAGAGCCTAAAAGCAAAGATACCTGCTCTCAGCTAATAACATGTGCTGTACTTCTTGGCTCTTTAGTAAGATCACAGATTTGCTTTCAGTTTTTGCATCTATTGGTGAAAATTTACAGCTGTACAGATTTGATAATATATTACAACAACTATACTTTTGATATTGTCTAATGGAAAGTTTTCTCTCTTTTCTGTTTTTAGACACCAAATGGTGAAAGTTCACAACCAAAAACCAGCTCATCTTCCACTTCTTCATTTAGTCCATTTATTGATCCCAGACTGCTACAGTTTTCACCTCCAACAAGCCCGTCTGTCTCCCGTGAGTACATGTTAAGGGATGTGAATGTAAATGACAACCAGAGGCCTATTAAACCTTTTTTATTTGTGTTAAAATTGTGACAGTTATACTCATAGCTGCCATGTTTGTGGTGGGTGGGGATTTTTACCCCAGTCAATTTTAGGTTAGGAAGCTTATCAATGTCACCTTCTCATCAATGGGCAAATGTAGATACCTATAGCCTGCATTTGAAATTAGGATTAGTTTGAGATACTCCATTTCATTTGAGTGCCTTGATAGGTGCATTTGATCTTCAGTTGAACTCCTTCTGACCTGCAGTTTTCTTTCTAAGCTGGTTCAAGCTGCTCTTGGATGCCCATTGATTGGCGTCAATTGGCGATAGGTGTCAATTGACATTTGACACCTACCAATCAAAACATGAAGGTATTCACCATTTCTTGCTAATTTGTTTTTCTAACCAAAGGTTGAATGTGAGAGCCTTCAACTTGGGTTCTGGCATTTGACAGTTTTCTGACTGGGATTAAGTCTTGGCACCAAAGAAGCTTGAGCTTAAAAGAAATTGAGGTTCTATGTAGAGTTTAAGTTTAGATTCAGAAGGACTCCCTTAAGGACATAGATCAATAATGGATTTAAAGACTAACAATGGTACTTGCTGGTACCAAAAGTGCCTATATCTTAGCCATATTTCATAAAAACATTTTTCAATACTATTGATGTTCTAAAAGGGAAGAAGTGCCGCAGCTGCTAAGAACAATGACAAGATACTCTTTAGCACAAACATCAAGTTGCAGCTTCCGCTCTTTGTCCTGTTGACTGCAGGAGTATGTAACTCAGTGCTGGCTGATCATTCAAGCCAAAGGATATGGTGCATTCCTAATTCCTTTGCACAATGGTTATGCACAATGCTGGAAAAAGCCACGGTAAGTGTCGCTGAAGAATTAGCAAATAAGTCACATAAAACGTGTTATAAAAATGAGTGCAATATAAACCGTATAAGCAGTAGTCCATCTAATCATGCAGAAATCAATATTTTATTTCTTTTATGCAAATGCATTTGTGTCTTTTGTCATGCAGCTTTTAGGAAGGTTAATAAATTGCAAATTAAAATTGTAATACATGATAGTAAGTAGTATTTAACTATAGTCTTTTACCAGCAGCCCCCTTGTAATCTGCCCTTGTCTTTCTCTTGATTTAGCTAGCAGTATAAAAGTGGAGCCTTTCCGGAGAGAAAACATAAGGAAAGGATCAGTTGTCAATGTTAACCCAACAAATATTCGACCTCAGAGTGACAGTCCAGAGATTCGCAAGTATAAGAAGAAATTTAATTCAGAGATCCTTTGTGCTGCTCTCTGGGGTGAGTTCTTCTAAAGTACTGCATGTACCTATGTTATTCTTTTCTTCAAAGACCATTTTCATTAGAGCTACTGCTAAATACTATATTCTTTGTAAATAACCATAATATACAGTACAAGTTTCTTACTTCTTTTTAGGACGTACCTGTCACTTTTGAAATCTAATTCATCAATTGACTTTAAACTAGTTATTAATTTTTCTAATACACTTTAACAGCAAATGCAATTTGCAGAGGGATGTTTTCATGCAGGTGGCCTGACGCTCCGCTGTGAAGCTGGGCTAAAGTATCCATTTTAGAACATCCCTTTTACATTGATCTGTTCTACATACAGTATGTCTTAATTATAAAAGCACTTATCCTGTAGGGAAAAAGCACCTTTTCCCAGCTTCAAGCCTTGTCCTCATAAGATTCTAATGGATAAAGCTACCCTTTTCCATGTAACAGGACCTTACAAAACAATTTGGCCATCTTACAATGTGTCATATAACACTTCTTATGTGTTTTTTATTGTGCCAGGTGTTAACCTATTGGTGGGAACTGAATATGGACTATGGCTGTTGGATAGAAGTGGGCAAGGACGAGTTTATTCTCTTATTAGCAGAAGACGATTTTACCAAATGGATGTACTGGAAGGACTAAATATCCTGATTACTATTTCAGGTCAGATACATTTTTGGATGAATAACTTGTTGTATAAATAAACCCCATGTGATCCAAGCCACACAAGGTAAAGGTAATTGACCCATGGGGCTGTGAAATATTGGTGTTTTTTATATAAATGGCTTGCTTACTTTTTCCATATATACATATATATATATTGAATATTATTCAATATTGTTACAATCTGACAACTGTGAATAATATATCTCCCCTTAGTGGCATTTTAGAGGCATAATGTGTGTTTTTGTAAAGCTAAGCATACTTGTGTGTCATAAGAGCATTTAGTACACACTCTTAATGCCCAATGCAGTTGTCCAAAAGCCTAAACCTAGAGAATTTACTGGCCCTAGTGATGCAATGCACATGAGTGCTTAGTGTTTGCTTCGATGCATACTTGGAACAATGGAGCATGCATCTTTAGACCGGTTTTAACACTGGCTATAGAAACAAAAAATAAATTTCTCTAAAGATACCTTGGATCCCTCAATCCCAGAAAAATATCCCACTTCTTACATATACTGAAAGGTAGAGGAGCCCAGCAAGGCAAAACAAAATACTACAAAATTTAAATATATACAATGAAATAAAGTCCCAATTCCATAATGCCAAGCAAAAAAAAAACCGGAGTATAATAAATGCTTCCCTTGAGCTAGCACTAGGGAGTTTTGATTGTGTAAAGAATGAGGTACAAAAAGGCTACTATGAAGTGCAGCTTAATCCATATGGGGGATGGGCACCTTGATGGACTACCAGCACAAGAAAACAGGAAGGCACACCTGGTATAATACAAAAGAACTGAAATGTTTAATAAGCAAAAATCATAAAATAGTTATTAATAAACACTGACGATGGGATTGCATGCGCAAAGTCTGTGACCCAAAATGGGTACACACATGGGTGTGGCGGGTGGTCCAGTCTACTGGATAGAAGAGTGGGGGTATCATGCACACTCTATCGCTCACTTCATTCGGCAGGGCAGATCCATAGCCACAGGCCATGGACAATATAAGTGGATCCTCATGAACTTTGGTTATGCTAACCCACTCTCAGTATTTATTGTGCCATACTGGTGTACTACCTCCTTTTTCTTGTGTTTTTAATGCTGTGTCATCTGTTCCAGCCAATGGCTCTGCCAAACAGCGGCCATTTGAAATTTAAAACACAGGTACTGTGCGCATGAGGTAACCTTCTTGCTACAACAGTTTGCTATATTATCCTCATGTATTGGCCAATAATAATTATTTCCAATTGTGTCATATTCTTTCACAATGTGTTCTATCCCACACTTATTTAAATATTTTTTTCTCTTGCTAAAGGCAAAAAAAACAAGCTCAGGGTTTATTACTTATCCTGGCTGAGGAATAAAATTCTACACAATGATCCAGACGTAGAGAAGAAGCAAGGATGGGTCTCTGTAGGAGAATTGGAAGGCTGTATACACTACAAAGTTGGTAGGTACATATTCTGGGTTTAATTTTCATCTCATTTCAGCAAGATGTTATATATGCAGTTAAGGGAAGCCAACAAAAATGTCTATCAAGGTTTCTATATGGTCTCAGTTTTCCCCTGGGTCATCTTAGACTGACACTCATTAATAAATAAAATCCAAAGTGGGAGTTTTATATTCAGTTTGTCAAAACATTTTTTATTGTTCCCTAAAGAAATGTACCTTTGGTAATCTACAAAAACAGGACTCCAACAGTAAGATGGCTCTCTGTGATGAAATTTTGCACTTTAAGTTTTCATAGTCCACTTTTCCATAAGTGTGCATTGTATACAACTGGAACCACTTCTTTCATAAGAATCTTCCAGATTTCTGAATACAGAGGGCTGAATTCTGAATAGGAATGCTGCTTTCTTTTTAGAAATATGAATAGAATCTAAAATGAGATGGAATGAAAGGTAAACAGCATAATGACATTTTGCTATAATTCCAAAGCAGATGTTCAGCTCGTAGAACAATAAAACAAAAACCTGGCCATTTGCATTTGTTCTATAGAACTGTTTCAAAGTGTAGGTGTTCCTAAATTTTTAATCCAGATAATTCCAAGAAATGCCTGATTATAATATAAATGCTGTGTGGGCCAAAGCCCAATTACAATTGACTGCACTCAATTAATGTGATAAAACATTTCAGTAACTGATAATGATCCTGCATGTAACTTAATAAGCTGAAATAAACTTTTATTTTGTTTGAATAACAAGAAATTATACAGCAGATTATTTTCTTAATTGTAAACTGAGTTCAGAGAAAAATGGTTTTACAGTTCATTTGAGGTTATAAAAAAATGGGACACTTACCAGTTACCACCAATTGACTGAAGTAGCTGCCTATAGCAAGCAAATATATACAGGGCATAAATACAGTAAATTATAAAAGCCCATTATTTGGAGTTGTTTTTCTTTTACTAGTACTAACATAAGTGATCTTTATCATTTTTCTTTTGCACACAGTTTCCCTTCCCATTGCATTTTTACCATTGCACCCCATGGTAACCCCAAAAATGTGTGTCTCTCTTCCCCGCCTCATTCTTTACCTGGAAATCTGTGTTCTGTTTCCCTGACTTAACCTGTTCTGCCAGTATTACTCACCCCAGCCCTATCTAAATACAATTGTATTAATGTATACATCGCTGTTCCTTGTATGCATTGGTCAGGGTCACAATCAGAGGCGTAACTAGAAATCACAGGGCCCCATAGCAAAATTTTGTATGTGGGCCCCCATCTAACCCCCCCCTTCCCCGGGCCCAAAAACAACCGTGTGGGTTGCTATGGCAGTAGTTACACCACTACCTGGCAGAGCAGTGTCAGAATGAAGATGAAGAGATGTGGGGGAGCAGTGTCAGGATGAAGACGAGGAGATGTGGGGGGGGGGGGGGAGGCTAGG